CCCTGCGCGTCCCGCCCCGTGGGCGAGCTCACGGCGGGCGGGAACGCCCCAGTATGCGGCGAGGTTCAGCGTGGAAGCGGTAGAGCCGCGCTAGTGGCGTTTACGCACCTAAAATGGCTTTTTTTTTGGTGATGTAGAAAATAAAGAATTTTGGTTTGAGCAACGTGTAAAGGCGAAAAAAGTTAAAAGGGCATTGGGGATTTGTTCTGTCATGTAGTATTCATGGCTGCAGAATCACAGAAGGGTTGAATCTGGATGGGGCCTCTGGAGATCATCTGGTCCAATCCCTCTCCACAAGCAGGGTCACTGAAAGCTCAGTTTGCAAGGATTGTGTTCAGGCAGCTTTGGAGCATCTTCAAGGAAGGAGTCTCCACAACCTCTCCAGGCAACCTGCTCCGGTGCTCAGTCACTCTCACCATCAAGAAGGTTTTTCATAAGTTCAGAGGGACCTTCTGGTGTTTCAGTTTGTGCCTGTTGCTTCTTGTCCTGCCACTGACCACCACTGAAAAGAGTCTGGCCCACGTTAATAAGATGCCCCACGAACTTTCTCTTCCCCAAGCTAAACAGGCCCAGCTCTCTCAGCCTTTCCTCATACAAGAGATCCTGCAGTCCCCTAATCATCTTATCCAGCAGGTTTATGTCCCTTTTGCACTAGGGAGCCCAGAAATGCACACAGTACTCCAGGTGCGGCCTCACCAGAGCTGAGGAGAGGGGGAGGATCCCCTCCCTGGACCTGCTGCCAACACTCTGCCTAATGCACTCCAGGCCTTCTTGGTCACAAGGTCACACTGCTGGGTCATGCTCAACTTCTTGTCCACCAGGTCCTTCTCCACAGAGCTGCTCTGCAGGTCACTCCCAGGTCTGTCCTAGGGCCTGGGGTTGTTCCTCCCTGTTGTCATGCCTGGGCTTGTCAATGACCCTGGGGTCACCAGGCCTGCAACTAGAATTTACACCACTGATCACAACCTTTTGAGCCTTTCAGCCAGTTCTCAATCCACCTCACTGGTTGCCCATCTATCCCCTGCTTCCTGAGCTTGCCTGTGAGGATGTTAGGGGAGACAGTCAAAAGCCTTGCTGATGTCAAACTGGGCAACATCCACTGCTCTCCCCTCATCTACCCAGCTAGTCACCCTATCGTAGAAGGGTA